GGCGCCACCGGGCCCTCTGACCACCACCAGTAGGCAAACATGGGGTTAGTATCTTTCCCAAGGATATTACAAAGCTACATTATGCTACATTACGCTTGTCATGCTTAATGCTTTATAGTAATTGTTCCATTTACTGTCTGTTTGTCTGCTGAGCACTCACCACTGGAGCAGTCCAGTCCTCCCCATCCTGGCTCACACTGGCAAGTATCAGGAGAGACACATCGTCCATGGGCACACTCTTCTGTGCACAGTGCTGAGAAGAAAGAAGAACATTGAAACAAATGTCAAACAAGCAACTATAAAACATAAGAAGTTATCAAGTTCTTTCTTTGAGTCATAAAACCTTACATCAAGTCTATTTGTCATTTAAATATAATCCCCGTTCCCTCAGTTTATTTAATTCATGGTAATATCTTTCACTGTTACAGTCTTTAGTGTAAATCTGACACTATCCACTCCAGCTCCAACAAAGTCTGTCTTGGAAATTTTATACTGAAAAGTCTGTTTGGAGAATAATGTCTTGATCTGATGATTCTTCTCTTCTGCCCTCCAGCAGATGGTAATGTTCATCTCATGATGCATATTTTTGTGGAAAAACAATGGCAGCAACAACAAAATACACAATAACACCAGATCACTTTTAACAACCGGATATACAATGGTGACAGTGCAAACAGATACACTCTCAGGTGTGAAGAGACATGTACACTAACTGCTGGTAATACGTGGTGAGTCTTTAATATTTCTTTTATTTGAGACTTTCTTTTAACTTTTGTTGTTTTTTACCTCATATTGTATCTTAGGAATGCATATTAGGGATATACTTTAATATATTCCTACTAACCGATGCCATAATATTATGCCTGATTACTGTTTATATATATATACACTAGCAGTCAACAGTTGATTACACAATCACTTAGTGCAATAAAGACACAATAATTACTGCTGAAGATTTTTCAACATTGTGTGTAGCATCTACTGTAACGCACATGTAAACACAGTTAGTAGAGCTGCTATAGCCTCAAGCTGCTGGGACTCTTACCATACAATTGTTAGACAGCTACGTCTCTTAATGCATGAAATTCTATTGAGTTAGAAGAAGGACGCAAATTAAAATAATCATAAATCACAGATTTTTCAATATTTTCATGCATTTGTTAAAAGATTAAATATGTTTTTCATACTTTTTTATTATTTATTTTTATTTCAATAGACACAGTAACAGTGCTCTA